GAATCCACATGCTATGTATGTTCATTGCTTTGCTCACCAGCTTCAGTTGACAATTGTATCTGTAGCACGTAGGAATTGTATGCTCGGTGATTTTTTTGACATACTTGCTATTATTGTGAATTTGGTTGGTGCATCATGTAAGCATATAGATTCTCTTCAAATAAGTTATCAAGCTAATATTCTGGAGAAGCTTAATATTGGGGAACTTACTTGTGGAAGTGGTTAGTTTCAAGATATGAGTTTGGCACGCCCAGGTGATACTAGGTGGGGCTCACATCTATTGACAATTACTCATTTCATTAATATGTTTAATGCTATCATAGATGTTCTTGAAAATATATCGGAAGATGACGTACATTCAGATCAAAAATCTTTAGCCGTAAGACAGATGAAAAGCTATGCAAGATTTTGAGTTTGTGTTCAATCTCTACTTTATGTTTGAAATTCTAGCAATTACAGACGACATTTCACAAGCCTTACAGAAAAAGGATCAGGATATTCAGAATGCTATGAGGTTATTGAATTTGTGTAAGTGTGCATTACAGAACTTGAGAGAGAATGGTTGGGATACTTTGTTGAGTAGGGTGATTGAGTTTTGTGTTGATAGACATGTTTTAGTGTTCAATATGGAGGATATTGTACTAGTGAAAGGTCGACCTAGGCGTGTAGCTCAGCAGGTGACTTATTTTCATCATTTTTATGTTGATTTGTATTGTCATAAGATAGACTCAATCTTGCAAGAGTTGAATGATCATTTTCCAGAAACAACTACTGAGCTCTTTACTTGCATTTCATGTTTAAGTCCAAGAGATTCATTTGCAGCTTTCGATAAGGATAAATTGCTACGTCTTGCTCAGTCCTATCCGTTGGACTTCAATAGTGAAGAGTTTTTATTACTTAGAACTCAGCTTGATAAGTTTCTTTTGCTTGTGAAAATAGACGAAACTTTATTTAATCTCAATAGCATATCTTGTGTAGTTCAGAAGTTGGTTGAAACTAGAAGTTCCTGTTATTTTTCATTGGTTTATAGGCTTCTCACCTTGGCTTTGATATTACCTGTGGCAACTGCAAGTGTTGAAAGGGTATCTTCTTCTATGAATCTAATCAAGAATGATTTGCCCAACAAAATGGGAGATGGCTGGTTGAATGACAATTTGGTGGTTTAAGTTGAGAAAGCTATTTTTAAAAAACTACAGAAGGAGACAATATTGCAACATTTTCAAGTCATGAGACCCCATAGAATGCAATTGTCTATATTTACAATTACAGAGTGACTGAGTAAGGTTGTATCGTATATTTTTTTACTATTTCGAGTTGTATTGAAGTATAATTTTATATGTATACGATTTTGACGTTTTAGTTCATTATATATATATATATTGAATAACTTTTAATATTATGTAACCAAATTATATTAAACGATCGGACTATTATATGGTCCATGGTCGATGGTCAACAGTCAACCCACCCTAGCTGGACTTCCATTTTAAATTCGTTGTTGTTTACAAGTCTAACATTTAATCT